GCCTCTGCTTCGTGAGGGCTGGAATTAAAGGCGTGCGCCACCACCACCTGGCCAACATTGTACTTCTAATCTTCCTGAGTTTACCTCCCTAGTTCAAGGGCTTTAGGCCTGTGTCTCAAAGCCCCATTTATGAAGGACTGGAGGTTGAACCCAGGGCATCATACATGCTAAGTAAGCAGTCTACCAACTGAGCTACATCTCCAGCCCTCCATTTTGGTTTTGTAATTTTTGTCTTTCCTCTGTTCTGTAGTAGAATGTGAAATGCATAATAACCAACTCAGCCTAAAATAAAAGACTTGGGCTTTTAACTTCACAGCAGGTTGTCAGCTGAGAGACTAAATTCAAATTTAGATAACTTAAAAAAAAGCATCATCAAGGTAGGCAAATGCAGCAGATTACAGAGTAATTTGGGCACTGGGGATTCCTATGGGAGAGTGTTGTAATAGTACCTATGTTGCCAGCCAGTGTTGTAATTAGAAGGATCACGTTCCCCACACGCCAAGTTAACCATGGGCAGGGATGGGCAGGATAATTGCCTTGACTCTAGCGATTATTTCGCTCTTATATATGCATCCCAAAACATCATGTTGCACACCTTAAATATATGTAATTTAAAAGCACGAAAAGTGCACATCCCCATTTCTTTGACGCATGTCCCACAGTGCCTGTAAAAAGGGTGTTCTGGGAGGCAGCACCTTGTTGCCATCCATCGATCATAATGTAGGATTTCCAAAATAGCTCCCTCCTCCACTGCAGTGATGTCACATGAGGAAATATGTAATTGCAGTGTCAACAGACTAAAATAACAACCAAGGGATTTTGACTTAACAGCAGGCTGTGGGTAAACTGTGATATAAACAGACTGCAGCCGTCTGTGAGAGAAGAGCCATTTTAATATTGCCATTTCAAAGAGATATTGTGTTTTCCAGCTTCTTAAAAATGAAGACCCTGATTGCACATCTTTGGAATGATAATCCACTCTAATTCAGGGAACGTAAGAGTGCAAATGCAATTGAGGACTGACACAAAATGATTTGCCCCAAATTACATATATTTGTTAAGGGCAGACTCAACCAGATTGGAGTCCTCTTGACTTTGAGTCAGGATGTGTCAAGCAGGAGAGACTGTGATATTTGTTCATTATTTTCTCTCTCCTCCTCTCTTCGGTGGGCAGTTTCTCTTGGGTGAATATACTGTCTGGGAATGCCTGGGCTTGCTTGGAGTCTGAATAGATGTTGGTTTTCCCTTTTCTTTTCAGTGCTTGGGCTCAAACCCAGGGCCTCATAGCTGCTTAGCAAACATACTGGTGCTGAAACATACTGTTGCTGAGCTGTGTCCCCAGTCCTCCTTTTTACTTTTTAAGAGACAGTCTCACAAAATTACCTAAACTGACCCGAACTCATGCTGTAGCCTAGACAGGTCTTAAACTGGTGATCCTCCTGCCTCAACCTCCTGAGTAGCTGTGATGACAAGCCTGCACCACCGGGTCTGGCTTAGACATTGTGTTTGCTTTAGCCTGATGCATGACCAAAACCAATTCCTACCTCATTTCTTTCCTGATGCCTTTCTGTGAACTCTCTCCTCCAGTCAGTGTCCCTTTGTTACCATGAGCCACACCCTCAGGGAACACTATGATGGTACAGCCCAACCTCCTTTTGAAAACTCATTGATGATGTCAAGACCCAGTCTTCATCCCATGCCAGGCAGAGCACTGGCAGACATTCCACAAGAATTTAGGACTGCAGGGTTGGTGGGATCGACCTATCATGCTAGCACTCAGGATGCTGAGGCAGGAGAAACATCAGTTCCAGTCCATCTAGGCTATATAAGTTCCAGGCAGCCATGATGGAGAAGACCACGATTACAGTGAAAAAACCAAGGGCAAAGTTAAGCTGAGTAGGTAGTTCAGTACCAGGGTTCTTCCCTCCATTACTTCATTCCTTTCTTTTTTCTCTTCCTTTCCTTCTTTCCTTCCTTCCTTTCTTCCTTTTTTTTTTTTTATGCAGAGTCTCATGTAAGCCAAACTAGCCTTAAACTTACTACGTAGTTGAGGATAAACTTGCATTGACCCTCCTGCTTCTGCTTTCCAAGTGCTGGGAGTACGGGTGTGTGCCTCCATGCTTGGCATTTGTTCTTTTTGTTAGCCCAATCATGCCCCAAACTTACTATCTCCCTGCTTCTGCCTGCTGAGTACAGAGACTACAATCCTGTACCTCCTTGCCCAGCTTGACCCAGTGGTTTGTTTATATTTTTTTTAAATGTGAAAAAAGTAACTTTTATGGGAGTCTGCCTGTCTTACCTAAAATGATGAAGCTGAAGAAAAAGTTGTTTGGTGTTTTTTATGATTTATTTTAATATTTTTTATTTATGTGTATATGGGTGTGTGCACATGAGTGCAGTGCCTTCAGAGTCCAGAAGAGGGTGTTGAATCTCCTGGAGTTGGGAGTTACAGGTTATTGGAGGCTGCCAAGTGCTCTTAGCCCCTGAGCCATCTCTCTCCAGCCCTTCTTTAGGATTTCTTTCAGCTCTGATCTCTAGTGCCTTCAGAAACCTTTTCATTATCATTGTTTGACCAATAATGTTGCTGAGAGTCTGACATGAAACCTGTTCTTGCTGGTTCTGGGAGCATGTAAAAGTGAAAGGAGTTTTCATCTATATGGGGAAGTAAGATGAACAGAAACTACTAGAGAAACAACCAGACACTCTCACTGGCATAGTGGTTTATACCTTTAATTCCAGAGTATGGGAGGATCCAGAGCAAGAGGATCTCTGTGAGATTGAGGCCAGCTTAGTTTACACAGTGAGTTCCAGGGCTATGTAGAGAAACGCTGTCTTAAAAAAAAAAACACAAAAAACAGATACTCTCCAGCATCTGTGGAACATGAGTAGAGCAGAAAGGGGAGAGGCCCTGGGCATCAGAATTGCATCAGCATTGGCAGCTTGGCTTGAGGAGTTTTTGGTAGAAGAGAAAGAGCTCCAGAAATATTTGAATCCAGATTTAGTTTTGTCTCTTTTGTGTTTTCTACATTCTCTTCTATTTGCATGTGTAATACTGAATTTATCTGTCGTCATTATGATAGGACCATAGCTTCCCAGTGGCAGTTATTGGGGTGGGAAGAGGCAAGAGTCTTTCTTTTCCTTCTCTAATATGCAAAAAGTATCTACATGTGGTGTATGAGATTCCTTAGACCAGAGAGTGGAGACTTCTCATGGCACTTGTTGAAGCTGCTATTTCAGCCTCCATTTCAATATGCCCTTGATGACCAGAGCCTGAGAGTCTGAGAAAGGAAAGGATGACCTGCTGGCAGCAGGAATTCAACTTCTCATCCTTCATGATCAGGAAGGAGCAAGGTCTACACAGCCTCTCCTAGCTGGAGAGTTCCTTCAGGCCTGCTCAAGAGCTGTAACATTGATCCCCATCTGAAAGCTGACAGAGGGTGTCTGTGTTGGCGTGGGAGACACAGTCACATATGTTCATTATTCTCTCTTCCTCTCTTCATAACCTCTCCTCTGCCAAATATACCCAAGTTGGTCTTCTCCTCACATTTTGAGATCCACATATGCTCTGAGGCTCAGAAAAATATCAACATATACATTCACTCACACTGTGCTGCAACACCCATAAGGCCATCAATTTTTACAGTCACATCTATTGGAATGTAATATCTTGGGTACTCATGATATGCTATACCAGCACACTGCTTGGGTGTGTCAAATGAGTAGGACATGGTTTCCGTCCAAAATAGCATATAAGAGCAAGCCTGAGCAGACACAAAGTTGTAAGCCCAGAGGCACATATACAGAAATTACTAATTTTATAATTAGTAAGTTCATAGATAGTCATGTATGTGGGTATACACTGAAGGGCAAAAGCAGGGCTATCAAATGGCTTGGTTAGTGAAGTGCTTGCTTGGCAAGCACAAGGACCTGAGTTCAATGCCCAGAGTCTGCGAAACAGCTGGATACAGTGGCATGCATTTATATCTCAGTGTCCAGGAGGAGAGACATTAGGATACCTAGGGCTTGCTGGCCAGACAGCCTAGCAAAAAACTGGTGAGATCCAGGTTCAGTGAGAGGCCCTGTCTCAAAAAATAAATTGGAGAGCGATACCTGATGTTGTTGACCTTTGGCCTCTGTGTGTGTGTGTGTCTCTCTCTCTGTCTCTCTGTCTCTCTGTCTCTCTCTCAAATACATACACAAGAAAAAATAGAACCTCTCATTCATGTATTTTACAAGTTTTTATGTGATTAACATTGAAAATTTCCAGAAGCTCCATTTTTCTATTTGTCTGTGTTAGTTTATGATCTTTCAAATTTGAGACTCGAGGGCTCTTTTTTTTTTTTTTAGTACTCTTTATAATTCCTTTTTCTTTCATATTTTATTTCTCTTAAGGAGCAATTTATCAGTGATTCATGGTGGTACACACTTGTAATTCCAGTACTTGGGAGACAGTAGCAGGAAAATCAAGTTGGTTGGGCCGGCTTGGGCTATAAAGTGAGGGCCAGGCCAACCTGGGCTATAGAGAGAGACCCTGTCTAAAAGGAAAAAGGACGGAGGATAGGAAGAAAGAAGGGAGGATAGGTTACTTCTTTTGTATGAATTATTCTATATACAGAAATAAAAAAGAGAGGCCTTGCCTAGGTTAAAAGTAAGTAAAGTGGGTTGGCAGTGTAGCTCAGTGGTAGAGTGCTTGCCCAGCATGCACAGAGCTCTGGGTTTGATTCTTCAGCTTACATAAACCAGACATGGTGGTGCAGCCTGTAATCCAAGTACTCTGGCAGTAGAGACAGAAAGATTGGAAGTTCAAGGTCATCCTTGGCCTGCATAGAGAGTTCAGGGCCATTTAATAAATAGAGTACCCTCTCAGAAATGCAACCTGTCTCTTCCTACTCAGTTGAGATAGTGAACCCTTACTCAATGATCCTTTAATGGTGTTGTTTATAATGGATATCTTGAACCACAATGCCCAAAATGACCCTGTTTTCTTTTATTTGCTGTAGGTGTTTGAAGAACGAAGAGCTCTGCTTGGAAAATGGGTAAAGCATTTAAAATACATAGGCCTGCTGGGGATATCTGAGTTGCAGAGTATTTGCCTAGTCTGCCCAAGGCCTTGGGTTCAATCCTCAATACCACAGGATGGATGGATAGATAGATAGATAGATAGATAGATAGATAGATAGATAGATAATAAAAATAAAATATGCCTGTGTCTGAATCATGGTATAATGTCTGTTTTCAAGCTACTGTAATGAAAACCATAGACCCAGTAGCTATTTGTTTATTTTTCTTAGTTCTGGGGCTTGGTAAGTCTCAATATCAAGATGCTGGTGATGGGTGTCTGGTGAAAGCCCTCTTGAGCAGCCCTCTTGCTGTCTCCTGAAATGGCAGAAAGCGGGGGAGAGTTCTCTGGGATCTGTTTTGATACCACCTCCTGAAGGCTCCACCTACTCCCCATCCCAATCTGCAGGTTAGGATTTCATACTGGTTTTAATTTTTTATTAGATTTATTTTATGTGTATGCGTGTTTTGCCTGCATGAATGTATGTGCACCGTGTGGGTCCCTGATGCCCATGGAGGCCAGAAAAGGGGTGCACACCTTTAACCCCAGCACTCAGGAAGCAGAAGGAGGTAGATCTCTGAGGTCAACATGGTCTACAGAGCAAGTTCCAGGACAGCCAGGGCTACACAAAGAAACCCTGTCATGAAAAACTCAATAAACAAATAGTAAAGGTTTCAACATTCGAATGCTTCAGGACACAAACATTCAGTCTGCAGCATTGTCTTGGTGCCACACGTACCAAGGCAGTGCCAGCTCCTTCCTGAGAATCATGACTGATGATTTCCATTTAAAGTCTACCTGGAAAACAGAACTCATCCAGTATTTTAACAGACATAATTTAATCAAAAGAATGAGTCTTAGAAAGAAAGACTCAGGAAAGGGTTGAGGAGGGTCTGTGGAGAACTGAACTAATGCCCGCCTTACTCACTCCAGCCTAGTAGGGGACTCACACTCCTGATGGGGAAAAGTAGGCATCCTAGCCAGCTGGTTCTAATATATCCAAGGAAGCATGATGACTCTAGGTTGTCTGGGGGACAGCTGGAGCCAGGAGTCAGAGTGAAGAGTCAGGGCAGTGCACACAGGAGCCGCAGCAAGCAGGAAGGACTATGTCTGTTCTTCCTCAGTTTCCCTGTAGTGCTTCCATCTTCACAGGCAGCATTTAGCAGAGATCTGGCTGTCAACAGAGAAATATGGCTACAGAGTTCCAGCCTCCTTGAATCAAAGAGCGTAGTGATGTGGTTTGGATCTGAGAGAGGGTTTCTTTGTAACCAGTGCAGTTCATCCACTGTAGCATCCAGGTAGCAGGTACATTCTTCTGTATATACTTGAACTTGTGCATGAGGAAACAAACAACTTCATGGGTCTGCCTAACAAGCTACAGCCACCCTTCATCATCGATGAGGACTTGCTCATCTATTCCTTTAACGAGGAGACAGAATCCCAAAGGTCATTATCCTTACTGAATAATGTCAAATTATGTGTTTCTGGACAACAAATTACTTGTTGAACTACTCTACAGTCTCAACTAAATATTTTCTACTACTCAAGAGAATTGAAAACATATGGCCATTCAAAAGCTTGCACATTAGTGTTTATAGCAACAGTATTCAGAATAGTCAAAAGCGCAAAAAATTCAAATATCCATCCACAGGTAAATGAATAAACAAAACGTGCTATGTTCATATGATGTGATATTATTCCTTTGTAAAAAGAAAGTATTTCTGATACATGCTATAACATGGACGAACTTTGAAGGCATCATGTGCTAAGTGAAATAAGGCAGTTTCAAAGACAAATATTGTACAACTCCACTTTATATGAGTTACTTAGAATGGGCAAATTCATAAAGACAGAAAATAGAATAGAGGCAACCAGGGGTTGGGGAGCTAGTTTTTGATGGGTGCAGACTCTTGGTTTGAGAAAGCTCTGGAGACAGGTGGTAGTGGTGGTTGTACTACAATGTGAATTTATTTAATGCAACTGTACACATAAAAGCCTGTAATCCTAGCACTTGGGAAGCAGAGGTGGAAGAATCAACTCCAGGACAGCCTCAGGCTATGTACCAAGTTCAAGGCCAGCCTGGCTCCTGAGACCCTGTTTCCCTAAATCAATCTTCCCCTCCCCATCCCCAAAGCAGTTTAAATAGGATGAAATGCTTATGTATTTCTTTTTTTCAAACCACTTTATCTTTAATAATCTAATGGTAATTCAAAATTCGAAAAATAAATGGTGAAGCCATTCGAGTTATGGTGGATGCCACTGTGAGTGCCTCACCCACCACCCCAGGTGAGGATGAGATTGGATACTGTTCAAATGCTTGGCCAGTAAAATGGCTCCATGGCTTCCAGACTGATATATTTGGTTACTGAATCTCTGAAACCTCTGAAAGGTAGCAAATGGTAGATGAAAATTGAATGTAAGGGACCTCAGAGAACAGGGTGTCATTTGTGAGGTTTTGTTTTGTTTTGTTTTGTTTTGTTTGTTTGTTTTTTTGTTTTTTTTTTATGGGAGATGGGGACAAAAAAAGAAACTGAGATTAGATAGTGCTGATGGCTTTGTAACTTTGTATCTATACTAAAACAAGTCAATTGTACACTTTATTTTCATTTCCGTGTGTGTGTGTGTGTGTGTGTGTGTGTGTGTGTGTGTTGTGTGATGTCTGCATAAGGGCACATGTGCCACAGTGCTCATGTGGAGGAGGTCAGAGGACAACTTTGCGGAGCGTGTTGTCTCCTTCCATCTTCATGTAGATTCCTGAGATCAAACTCAGGTCACCAGACTTGTACTGCATGCCCCTTGAACTGCTGAGCCATCTTACTGGCCCTCCACCTTTCTTTTTAAGGCAGGATCTCTTACTAAATCTGGAATTTATGGATTCCAGCTAGACTGGTTGGCCTTCGAGCCCCAGAGATTCCCTAGTCTCAGCCTCTCCAACTTTGGGATTACAGGTGTGTGCTGCCACACCCAGCTTTTACACAGGTGCTGGGGTCCAAGCAAACCCCTTGGCAACTGAGCTATGTCTCAGCCCTTCAAAGTCTTCACATTTTAAAATATTTATTTTTAGTTATGTGTATATGTGAAGAGGCAGGGTATGTATAAGGGATCGGTTCCAGCTTAGGACCCCCAAAACCAAGTTCTCAGAACAAAGGAGATTCATTTGCTCCAGAGAGACAAAGAGCAGGGGATTAGAGACAAGACAGAAGATAGAGGAGAAGGGGAAAGGGAATAAGACAGAGGGGTCAGGGATATTTGTTCCTGAGTAACAAAGACTGCCTTTGGATAGAGAGCAGATATCTGTGGCCCATAAGAAACTGGCAGTTTATAAAGGCAAAGGGAAAATCCTGTGTTAGGATGAGGTGTTTAATTTTAATTGGGCATGTTAATTAGGTGAGCCAAGTAGGGTTTTTTGTTTGTTTTGTTATTGTTGTTGTTTTGTTTGTTTTTTTGAGGCGGGGGTTTCACTGTATAACTCTGGCTATATAGAAACTTGCTCTGTAGACCAGGCTTGCCTTGAACTCACAGAGATCTGCCTGCCACTGCCTCCTGAGTGCTGGGATTAAAGGCATGTGCCACCACTGACTGATCAAAGAGGGCTTTTGATTATTGAACTTCAATACTTTGATTAGCTGGACTTTGGTAGTCAGCCTCAGGAGGAGGCCAAATAAGGGAATAGACCTTGGTGGTAAGCTTTCAGAATGTAATCTGACAATTTTTAGCAAGGCAGAAGGAATGAGGGAGAAAGACAAGGCCTGCTAGAGCCATGTTTGCCATGCTTGGGCTGGCTGGAGTCCTTTCAGTTATGTGTACCTGAGTACAGGTACCCAAGGAGTCCAGAAGAGGGTGTCACATCTCTGAAGCTTGGAATTACAGGTGGTTGTGAGCTGCCTGGCCTGGGTACTGGGAATAAACTCAGGTCCTTTGCAGGAATAGTAAGCTCTCTTAACCACTTAGCAACCTCTTCAGCCCCATAAATAATTTCATTTTTGTTCATGCATTACACGTGGTTCTGTTTGATATTTAGGATAGCAACAAACAAAATAATAACGAGAAACCAAAGCTGTATGTGGCAGTGCACTGTGTGGAAGTTACACACCCATAATCACAGCACTCCAGAGGCTGAGGCAGGAGGATTGTGAGTTCAAAGGCACAATGAGACCTTATCTTTTTGTTGTTGTTTTTAATCCTCTGTAGGGCTAGGGAGATATCTCAGTGGTTAAAGTACTTGCCTCAGAAGTGTGGGGATGGGAGGAGTTCAGCTCTCCAGAACCCAAATAAAGTCCACATGGGTATGGTACCTCCCTGTAAGTCTAGTCTTTGAAAGCAGAGCCAGGATCCCCAGAACACAGTGGCTAGCAAAATAACCCTGTGAGCCCTGGATCAGGCTGAGACTCTGCCTTGATGCATACAGTGATAGGTGGTGATTCTCCAGCATCACACACACACACACACACACACACACACACACACACACACACACACACCACAAGTTTGGGGGAGCCTCCCAAATCACCCTCCTGTCCTTGCCATTTATTGTGAGATGATTGCTGAACTCTGACAGCTCAAGCTACAGCATCTCTAAAAATATCATGTGGACAGTTATCAAGAATACCCCACAGAAGAGGGTCCTTCAGGAGTGAACCCCAACACTGTGTGACAGTAGAATGAGAGAACTCTAGTGGCTACCCAGCCTCACATGCTGATCCCTTACTTTTATGCTTCGGATTTTACTGAAGAATTGATGCAAGAAATAAGGGAGAACGGTGAACAATTTGTGGATTATCTGCTTCCTAGTTTATCCTAACACCTTTTAAACTCCACAGGGATTTTTCCCCCTACTACTCAGTATTCTGAGTCATCACCCCCACCTTGAATTGGTAGGGGTTCAAGGAATGCAAATTCACTTTCTATTAGCTTAAACAAACACAATTAGAAAGGAAAATCCCTGAGGCAAAAAACACCTATCAAGCCAAATGTAAATTACCCTGGACTTTCTGGATCAGTGAAACAAATGAAGAGTCCACGTAATTATCTTCTTAATCTCCAGGGAGAGTGTTTCAGTGTTTTCTTTTATGGGTTTTTATGATCCTAATGCTCTTTTATATTCATTTTAAGTCACACTATAATGTGAGTTCATTCTTTTATGCGACACTAAGGAAATCTGGTGAGCTGACCTGGACTTTTCCTTGTCAAGACACAAACATGACAACTTGATGCTTTTAAAGTTTCTTTTTTTTAATTTTATTTATTTATTATGTATACAACATTCTGCTTCCATGTATATCTGCACACCAGAAGAGGGCACCAGATCTCATAAGGGATGGTTGTGAGCCACCATGTGGTTGCTGGGAATTGAACTCAGGACCTCTGGAAAAGCAGTCAGTGCTCTTAACCTCTGAGCCATCTCTCCAGCCCCTTAAAGTTTCTTGCATATCTCTTTTACACAGATTTAACCACTTACATATTGTTTTTAAGATTTTCATGGCATTTTAGAATAATAGGTATCCTTTATACAAAGTACATGTACACATACACACACAAATGTATATGTAATCCTCACAATAGCCCTACAATGTAGTTATAATACCCCCCAATATATAAATGAGGACATTTTAAATATTACAAACAGTAGAAAATTGATAGTAGGACCGTGAGTATTCACTCCTGTCAAACAATCCAAACTCAGAACAATACAGGCAAATCTTAACGTGAGGGTGGGAAACTAATCCTGGAGACACTGGTTCTAACAGCTCTGAATCCCTGTTTGGAGGGAAGGAGAGCAAGTGGGACCTTTACAGACAACAGGTTCTAAAATTATCACAAGGTAATTTAAAGTATTGAAACAGAGACTCCTTCTGAAGTTGGAAAAGAGTATGAGGGCCAGAGGAGCACACCCTAAAGTGGCATTTCTCATGTCTGTACCCCAACAAAAATGAATTCGCACACATACTGTGAAGGAAAGCTTTAACTGCCAACTTGCCACAACCTAGATTCATTTGAGAAGGGAGTTTCAACTGAAGAGCTATCTAGACAGATGACCTGTGGGCGTGTCTGTGGGGGATTGTCTTATAGGTAGTACTGTTTCCTGGACATGAGCTTCTGAACTAAATCAGACAGGAAAAAGCTAGCTGAGAGCAATCAAGTATCATTCATTTCTCTCTGCTCTACACACACACATTTTTATTATATTTTCCTAGTGTCATGTCTGTTACAATGATAAAATGCCTCAACAAAAAGCCTTTCATGGAAGAAAGGGTTCATCTTAGTCCACAATTGCTGTTCTAGTCCACCATAGCGGGGTGCCAAAGCAGTAACTTAAAACAGCTGGTCACATCTACAGTCAAGAGCAGAGAAAAATAAGTGCACACAGGCACAGGTGCTCAACTTTCAGCACTTAGATGGTACAGGGTCTCCTGCCTGGGGAATGGTGCCTCCCACTATAGGCTGGATCATCCCACATCATTTAACATAAGACAGTCACGCCCCTCCACCAGGGACGAGCCCAAATACCAACCTGATCTAGACAGTCCCTCAATGAGACACTACAGGTAGCTCTAGATTGTATCAAGTTGACTATTACACATACACTGAGGCCTAGGTCAGATGCTCTTCTGTAGATGCCGGTTAGTCATGTACATGGAAATGTGAGAAGGGATGAGTCGGTGGTGAAATGTGGGATTTACTGAGCTGGTATAGTAACATCTGCATGCTATGCATTAGCAATAACTTGCTAAACTCATTTTCTGTGCTATTCTCTTCCTCATGGTTGATCCGAATAAGTGTGGGACTCTTGTTCTTTTCCTCAGTTTGACAAATGGACAGACTCTCAGAGGAGAAGAATTCTTACAGGCCTGCTAGAGCGCTGCTCCCTGTCCCAGCAGAAGTTCTGTTGTCGAAAGCTGCAGGAAAAAATCCCAGCAGAGGCTCTGGATTTTACCACCAAGCTTCCAAGGGTGTTATCTGTCTATATCTTTTCCTTCTTGGATCCCCGGAGCCTTTGCCGTTGTGCACAGGTAAAGGCAATGGAATGGTACATGGCTTTTTATTGGGACAGCTTTAGGAAACTCTGAAGGTGGAATAACCTAAAGATGAACCCCACATGCATGTGCATAAAGCCAAGTAATGGATTTTATTCTGCAGACTTTGAATGAATGATCCTTGACCTTTTTCTGTGATAGGTGTGTGTGCATGTGTGTGTGTGTGTGTGTGTGTGTGTGTGTGTGTGTGTGTGTGTGTGTGTGTAAGACACTGTAAACGGGGGTTTCTCTGTACCACCCATTCCTCAGTGGTTTATAAATAATCATTCACAAGCTTAATATTAATTATAAACTATTGAGGCTTATTGCTAACTAGCTCCTATCTTTTTTTGTTTTTGTTTTTCGAGACAGGGTTTCTCTGCGTAACAGCTCTAGCTGTCTTGGAACTAGCTCTGTAGACCAGGCTGACCTTGAACTCACAGTGATCTGTCTGCCTCTGCCTCCCAGGTGCTGGGAATAAAGGTGTGTACCACCACTGCCTGGCTGGCTCCTACTTTTAAATTAACCCATTTTTATTAATCTATGATTGCCACATGGGTCGTGGCTTTACCTGTGGTCTAGTACATCTTGCTGTTCCAGTGGCTGGTTGGCATCTGCCACTTGAATTTCCTGCCTTGCTATATTTTGCCTTGTTAGAGGGCAAAGCAGCTTTTATTACCCACCAGTGGGAGCAACATATATTCACAGTATACAGAGGGGTTACCCCACAGCAAGTCACCATGAGTATCAGATGACAAAAACCACTAGCAGTTATACACATATAAGTGGTTCCTCAATGGGGTAGCATCTAAAATAACACGCTAGACCAGTGGTTTTCAACCTTCCTAATGTTGGGACTCTATGACAAAGTTCCTCATGTTGTGGTGACCCGCAACCATAGAATTATTTTCGTTACTATTTCATAACTCTAACTTTGCTACAGTTATGACACATAATGTACATATCTGATATGTGAGCCTTGTGAAAAGGCTGTCCAACTCCCCACAGGTTGAGAACCACTGCCCTAGCCTATGCAGTACCGGTCATCTGTAAATAGAAAAGCTTAAAAGAGGGTATTTAGGAAATATGTACTAAGAGGACAAGAGTGAAAGATATCTAAGCTAAGCTGCATATCTGTGAACTCAACACTTGGAAAACTAAGGCAGGAGAACCATTATGAGTTCTGGGATACCCTAGGCTACAGAGCAAAACCTTTCTCAAAAACAAAACAAAACAGAAAGAAAGATAGGTAGGTCTGAGTGTGCCAGTATACCCTCAGAGGGCTTGGGGCGGGGAGAAGCCAATATTTCTTACAAGTAACTCTTTACTGTATTAAACTGGAGTTAAGGGGCTGGAGAGATGGCTCAGCAGTTAAGAGCATTTGCTGCTCTTGCAGAGAATCCAGGTTCAGTTCCAGCATCCACATGGCAGCTCACAACTTGTCTATAATTTCAGTTCCAGGACATCTGACTCCCTCTTCTGGATTGCATTCCTATACATACACACAGGAAAATACTCATGCAAATAAAAGTAAAAATAAATGAATGTTTATAAAATAATAAAAAAATAACCTGGAGTTAGATTAAGATATAAACTTGTAAAGCAGCCTTGGTGGGTCATACCTATAATTCCAGCACACCACAGGAGGATCAGAAGTGTAATGTTACCGAGCTGTGCCTTCAAGGAAAATGACAGAAGTTATTTGGGGTCCCTCAGCGCAGCTCAAGCACTAGCGGAAAAGAGGCTGTGAAAGTGAGAAGGCTGCTTTGTTTTCCCAGGTGAGCTGGTACTGGAAGAGCTTGGCTGAGTTGGACCAGCTCTGGATGCTCAAGTGCCTGCGCTTTAACTGGTACATCAGCTTCTCCCCAACACCCTTTGAGCAGGGCGTCTGGAAAAAGCACTACATTCAAATGGTGAAAGAACTTCACATCACCAAACCCAAGGCAAGTCTGAGACAGAAAGCAGCACACTTGGGAAATATCAGCTGTGGCAAATTCTAGAACGTGAGTGAGTTAATGATCCAGCTTGAATGTAGGAAAGAAAGGGAATGGGTCAAAGGACATACTCGTGACTTTAAACTTCTCGTTTGAGGCCTCATAGGTTTTTTCAGGATACTTATGTTACTGAAAGATCTCACCTGTTGCCCTCCAACAACAGTTACTGGTAGAGGTCAGGACTTGGGGGATCCTGTCTATAACCCCACCCTGATTTATGTGCCTCTTCCTCAATTCTCAGACAGTTTGACATGGGAATTATGCATTATATTCAGTAATTGTCAGTATGGGCCGTTAGAATCTACACATTCAGATTTATGATTCTGTAAGATGAGGTGAAGTTTGTTGGTTGGTTGTCAGTGCGTTAATTAATTCATTGTTTGAGACAGTGTCTCCTTATGTAGCCTGGGCTGGCTCTGATCTCAAGAGTCTCCAGCCTCAGCATTAGTGATGCTGTTACTATAGATATGTGCCGTAATGCATGAGTGTTTCTTTATCAGCTGTCACGGGGCTCCACAGTAGGGCCTCATGCAAGCATGATGGTCTGAGTTTGGATGTCCACCACCTAAATAAAAAAGCCACTTGTAATCCCAGCACTGGGGAGGTGGAGAGAGGATGATCCCTTGGCCTTAGCTAGCTGAGACAAATGGGAGAGCTCCCAGTCCCAGTGAGAGACCCTGACATGCATGGTTTAACTCTGTCTTCCAAACTATGTTCACACATGTGTTCACAGACACACACACACGTGTGTGAGTGCACACATGTATGCACATACACACACTCTTTTGATGTGAACATTCACAGAATAAAAAAGGAAGAAATATAGGATCATTTTAATACAGATACGCAAACAAGTCATCTAACAAGATTCAATGGCCATTCATGAATACACAATCCCAGAAAGACTTCATGTAGGCTGGGAATGTAGGTCAGCAGTAGGCCCAGTGCTTGCCTAGCGTATGTCAGGCCCCAGGATTTAACCCCAGCACCAGCACAAAAGACTTGAAATGGTAAGAGCAAAGCTTGCTTACTTATATCATTGTTATGGATTTCATTATTGCTTTTCAGAATTAATGATTGTTCTACATTTTACTGTTACTTATACTTGAGTACCTCCCAAGTTTTTTAAATTATCCTATATTATTTTATTTCTAATAGCCATGCACTAATTGCTTTTATCATTGCTGTGGCAAAATACCTGGCAGAAGCAACCCAGAAAGAAAGGTCTATTTTGGCTCATAATTCAAGGGTATAGTTCATAATGGTGGGAAGTCACGGCTGAAGGATCTTGAGGTGGCTGGTCACATGGCCTCCACAGTCAGGAAGCTAGGAGGGGAATGTGGTGTTTGGTCACTGTCTCTTTTTAATTCATCTGGAACCTCAGTGCCCAAGATGATGCTGCCCCAGTCAGGGTGGAACTCCTCACTTCAATTAACCCAGTCTACACACTCCCTCACAGATGTGTCCAGAGGTTTGTCTCCTAAGTTATTCTAGATCCTGTCAAATTGACTTTTTGTTGTTGTTTTGTTTTTGTTTTTGTTTTTGTTTTGTTTTTCGAGACAGGGTTTCTCTGTGGCTTTGGAGGCTGTCCTGGAACTCGCTCTGTAGACCAGGCTGGCCTCAAACTCACAGAAATCTACCTGCCTTTGCCTCCCGAGTGCTGGGATTAAAGCACACACCAACGCCCGGCCAAATTGACAATATTAATCATTGCAAGGATTAAAGTAGAACTCCTGCAACAAAAAGACAAGGGTTTATTTCTGAATAAGCTAATAGAAATGAATGTCCATTCTAGAGGGGACCTATACAGCATACAGAATTGTACAAATATTACATGTCTTCTTGGTTAGATACTGGACCACAGTGATGTTAATCTTGATTGTCAACATGACATTCATGGGATTGACCTCTTGCCATGTCTGTGAGGTTTTGTCTTGATTGCTAATTGATTTAGGAGGGCGCAGTCCACTATGGGTGGTGCTAACCCTAGGCAGGTGGCCCTGAGCATGAGCCCAGAAGCAAGCTGCATTCTTCCATGATTTCTGCTTCAAGTTCCTTCCTTGATTTCCCTGGATGATGGACTGTAACTTGTAAGATGAAATGAACCCTTTCTTCCCAAGTTACTTTTGGTCATGGAGTTTTTCCTAGCAGCAGGCAGCAAACTGATACAGCCATAATCACTCACTGAGTAAATATTTATCAACTATTGTTATGTGGTAGGTACTAATAGTACAAAGATCCTAACTAGTTTCCACAGCACTCAGTCTAGTAGCCATGACATATCCAAATAAACACCAAATAAACATACTTGAAACACTTAACACTAAGAATAATCTTGGAGTAGAAATGACTACAACAAACAAGGAGTGGCTCAAACAATGAACCTTGTTATGCTTGGGGAACTAGGAGAATTGTTTCTCTCTCCTTCCTTCTTTCTTTTCTTCCTTCCTTCCTTCTTTATTTTTAGTGGTGGAGCTGGGTATGGAATATAAGACCCTAGCAAAGACTCTACCAGAGAGTTACACCCCAGTCCTAACTGGGGAGATTCTTGATTTTTCACTCACAATTGAAGCAAGTCGATTTACCAAACAAAGCCTCCCTAATCTCTTAATGAACAAAAATTGAGCTCCTAATGGCTTCCCAACATACCAGCACCACTTCCCTTAGGCTAAACCTGCATTGAAAACATTTTGTGAGCCAAGCACACAAAAGACCGACGTCTAATTTTGGAAATTAAATAGAATTATTCTTAGGGAGTGGCTTGGCTTTGGATACCTGACACAGCTATTCTACCCCTGTGCAACTTGAACGTGTCTGTCTGTTAGTTCATTAAGGGTAGGGCACTTTGTGTGCATGTGTGAAGGGTGCACCCTTTTTATGAATATATTAACTTCTGTTAAGTGTGATAAGCTAGATAATGGGTAAGAGCTACAGGATAGTATGAAAAGGTTTGAAACATAGACTTGAAGCACAACAGACTTGGACTTGAATTCTGTATTCAAATTGAAATTCTACTTATGTCCTTATGGGCCACTTAAATAGTTTCTTCTAGCTTCAGTGTCTGCCTCTGTAAAATAGGAGCAATGATGAGTTCTCTTTAAATTGCTGTGAAAGTTGGGATTGGTGCTCACACCTGTAATTCCAGCACTTCTGAGCCTGGGGAAGAAGGATTGCAGTGAGCTCAACGTCAGCCTGGGTCACAGACTGGGATACTGTCACTGAACACCAAATAAGGCTGGTGATACAGCTCAGCTGGTAGACTGTTCGCCTGTTGGTCAGGAAGTCCTAAAGTGAATCCCCAGTACTATATAAACCTAGTGCAATAGACCTGTAACCTTAGCATTCAGGAGGTGGAGGCAGGAGGATAAAGGGTTCAAGATCATCTTGGGGTTATACAGGGAGTTTGAGGTGAGCTTGGGCTATACAAGACCCAGTATAAATAAATAAATAATAAATAAATTACTATGAAGATGGAATAAGAAAATGCAAAGAAACTGCTATGCATATCCAAGTACTTATGGGACAGTGGCTGCTGTAATCCTCATGGCCATTGTCATGATGATGTGAAGATGAGGATGAGGATGGTGAGGAGGAGGGTGGTTAAGAAGTTTGTGTTCTTTGTCTCTTGGTGGTGGTGTCATTCTGGTACCCCAGAGTAGAAATAATACATTTTCTTCCTCTAGACGCCTCCAAAGGATGGATTCATAGTTGCCGATGTTCAGCCCATTCCTGGCAGCTCTCAAGAGGAAAAGCAGTCCCCTTCATTAGCTTTGCGGTCTTCCTCCTCTTTAAGAAAGAAGAATAACCCAGGGGAGAAAGAGCTTCCACCGTGGAGGTCGTCAGATAAGCATCCCACTGATATCATCCGTTTTAATTATCTAGACAACTGTGACCCTGAACACTTCTGGCCAGGGTAAGAAAGAAGCTCCATAACCCTCTCAGCCTTTTTGTTTTTTCAGAATGATTTATTGACACTTGAGTGGATGAAAAACAGTGATCCTAGAACTCACTGTGAGCTACAGAAGCTTTTCAGTAGGTCCATGTGGACTAACCATTCTTAACAAGTTTGCCTTTTTCATTGTCATGTTTGCTTCTTATAGCTGTAATGACTTATCAGGGCAGCCTCCTTAATTACTGTGTGTGCATGCCACAGTGCATGTGTGTGGAGGTCAGAGAACAACTTTTAGGAGTCGATTCTTTCCTTCCGCCTTGGGTTCAGGGGATCAAACTCAAGTCATTAGGCATGTATAGCCAGGACTGTTACCCGCTGAGCCATCAGGTCAGCTCATCGTTAAATATTTAAATTTCTATTTGATTATTTTTTGTAGGTATGCGTTGTGTGTGCATGTGTGTGTGTATGCTGGGAGGGGTGCCTGTGGAGGCTGGAAGAAGGCCTTCAAACTGGAGTTATAGGTTGCTGTGTGTTGTTCACCGTGGATCCTGGAACTAAACTCAGGTCCTGTGAGAAAGCAGGAAGAGCCCTTAACTGATAAGCCATTGCTCCAGCCCCAGCTATCTTATTTTAATATTAATTCCAATCCACCACCATGTGGTTCATCCTAGAGTTTTTTTTTCCTTTTCCTTTTTATACTTCCTTCCTTTCCTAGTGAGTGAGCAAACCAAAGGAGGGAGGGGCATACTATGACCACCTCCCACCATGCAGAGCATGAGCTAGTGAGACAGCCACTGACTTTTCCCTACCAAGCTAAACAGGGATGGACTTGTAAAAAAGATCAGACCAAGTTCCAGGCAGCCTAAGCTCAGTAATGATACCTTGTCTCAAAAGAAAAATGGCAGTTGAAATATTGGTGACAGCACTGAGGAGGCTGAGGCAGGAAAATAACACATTTAAGGCCATCCTGGGCTAGATAGAGATACCCTGCCCCCCACAAAACAAAAGAAACAAACAAACAAACAAAAAACAACAACAATAATTCAGACCAAAAATTGTATTATAATGAAGTAGAAAGTTAAGTTATATATAGTAAAATATTACCAGTTATTGAAATGAGATGGAGACTGTGTAGTTCATCACTCTGCTGCTAATCTCTCAACTTCCCTGCCTTTTGGAGGTTGGTTTGTTTGTGGAGCTAGAGTCTCCTTTTGTAGCCTAGGCTTGCCTTCAATCTGCATTCCTCCTGCCTCAGAATCCTGAGTTCTGGGATTATAAGTGTGTGCCACCATGCCTGGCTTTCCTGTACATTTGGAATTTCTGTATATTGATGCTCTCCATCAAATTGTAATTTGTTGGCTATTAATTTTTCCTACTTGTGGCCAAGCTGGATAATGTGGCAAAGTCAGACTGACAAAGCCAATTTAAGCCAGTTTTAGAATTAAACATTGTCTGGAAGTTACCTTCTAGTCCTGCACCTGAAATAGAATGAATAGGGGATGAGTCTGGGCAGTCGGGGTCCACAGTATGTAGCTCTTCTGGAGGCATACACAGAATTGTAAACATGTGCTAGATTCTCTGAGATTCCAGCTTACAAAAAAATCTGTGTGTTAAAGCCAGATGTGGTGCTGCTCACCTTTAATCCCGGAACTCAGGAGGCAGAGGCTGGCAGATCTCTTTGAGTTGAGGCCAGCCTGGTCTACAGAGGGAGTTCCAGGACAGCCAGGGCTGTTACACAGAGAAACCCTGTCTCGAAAAACCAAGAAGGAAGAGAGGGGAAAAGAGGAAAGGAGAAAAGGAGGAAGAAGGGGAAAGGGGGGGGGAGAGGACAAAAGTCATTCTTGGAACAACTGCATAAATTTGAATTTGGACCACATATTAAATGATAGTAAATAATGTGTATTTCCTAAGAAATAATGGTGCTAGTGTGACTGGGTAGACCAGTGTCTTGCCTTAGGAGATGAGTGTTGAAGTATTAGAAGTGGTGTGTCATTTTTGCAACTAATCAACCATCACCACAAAACCCAACCATACATATGTGGAGGGTGCAATGAAGCCAAGAACAATCAAATGCTATCAATATCTACTTAAGGCTGGGATCACTGCCCTAGCCTGCTAGCTCTTCTGTCTATTTGAAACTCCTCAATTAAGACTTGGAAGATGTCTTGAAAATGAAGTGCCAAGTAATATTTGGACAGACACATTCTTTTTAAATTAAAAGCCTTTTATGACAAATATTCAAATTAGATAGATAGATGGATGGATAGATAGATAATCAAAATTAACCTTTTGTGGCTATCATCAGTTGTTACAATTTTTAACCCATAGCCAATCAAGTAGACATCCCTTGTCTACTCTGCCCCTCCCCTAAATGATGATACTGATGATTAAGCCAGGGTCTTACTATGAAGCCCAAGCTAGCTTCAAATTCCCAACCGTCCTGCCTCAATCTTCCCATGTCTGGATCACTATGTCTTCATCACCATTTCATTCCCTAAATAATTTTTTTGAATAAGTCACAAATGGAATTTGTGAGTTATTTCATATGTCATATACTTCTGTTTTCTTTCTTCTTTCCTTCCTCCCTTCCTTCCTTTCTTTTCTGTTTTTTTTTTCTTTTGGTTTTTGGTTTTTCCAGGCAGGGTTTCTCTGTGCAACAACCCTGGCTGTCCTGGAATTTGATTTGTAAACCAGGCTGGTCTTGAACTCACAGAGATCCACCTGCTTCTGCCTCCTGAGTACTGGGATTAAAGGCGTGTGCCACCACACCCGACTCTATCTCTATTCTCAAAGAGAACCCTTTGTAAAAATCATAATTTGTACTCATCTAACTCAATGAATAACTCCTTAATACAATTAAGGATCATCAGCGTTGAGGGTGCCTTGAATGTCACACAGACGTTTGACTTTTTTAATGAATGCTTTGTTTAATCAGGTTCCAGATAAGGTCTAAAACGCAAGTTGTATTTGATTCACATGTCCATTCTTGCCCTGAACTGTGAGTTAACCTGCTCCACATCCTCCTCTTCTGTTGTTCCTCCCGCTCCTACTCTCCTTCCTCCCTCTTCTCTCCCCCGACCCCAAACTTGCAATTGTGGTAGAAATCAGGCCATTTGACATGCTCCTCACATTCTGGACTCTGTGGAGTGCCCAACCATGTGCATCTACTCACGTCCTCTGTCCTCTGTCCCTTGCCACACTGATAGTCAGAATAAGAAGCACCAGACTATATGAACAAAGACACCCACCTCCGTTTCTGGTTCCTACTGTGTTGTTGGTAACCATGGAAGCACATTACCTAGATTCACTATTTCAGGCAAACTTATTCTAGAAAGGGCCAGAAGGGAGATATTTTAGACTCTGCAGGACATAAGCTCCATGGCTCAGCTCTGACGGCATAGTCTGAAAAATCACCTAGACATTCCACACACAAACACCACTGTTTCTATTACAACCCATGAACAAAAGTAGGCAGCAGGCTAGACTTTTCTTTAATCCCAACACTTGGGAGGCAGAAGAGCAGAAGGAGCAGAGGGGCAGAAGGAGCAGAGGGGCAGAGGGGCCATGGGACAGGAGGAGCAGAGGGGCAGAGGGGCAGAATGGGTAGAGGGGCCATGGGACAGGAGGAGCAGAGGGTCAGAAAGAACAGAGGGGCAGAGGGGCAGAAGAGGGAGAGGGGCAGAGGCAATGGCTGTGGGTTTGAAGTCAGAGTGGTCTATATAATGAGTTCCCGCTCCAGGCTAGCCAGGACTATATAAATAGACCATGTCTAAAAAGAAAGAAAGAAAGAAAGAAAGAAAGAAAGAAAGAAAGAAAGAAAGAAAGAAAGAAAGAAAGAAAGAAAGGGAAGAAAGGAAGGAAGGGAGGGAGGGAGGGAGGAAAGGAGGAAGGGAGGAAGGAAGGAAGGAAGGAAAGAAGATTCAGATAAATAACAGTGTTAAAAGCACAAGAAAAAAACTGTGGCTGTGTCACCAACTTTATGGACAAGATCAAACTTGTTTCATTTTGCTTTTTGTTATTTCCTCTCTTTCATCTTAGCTTATACTCTGGAGAACATTTTAGTTGGTTCCAAAAGTCAAATATACAAAATAAGGTTATGTTTGGAGGAGTCTAGCTTTCGCTCCCATGTCTCCATATTGTTTCTGGGGGATTCCTATGGGCACCCTACCTATGGATAATGGCTTTTCGAATTTTTGTATCATTCTTCCATTTTAAAAAGTTTTAAGAGCTGGATATGGTGGTGCACACCTGTGATCCCAACACTTAGGAGACAGAGGCAGGATGCTTAGCAGGAGTGTTGGGTTAGCCTGCTCTACATAACAAGTTTCAGGAGCAGTCAGTAAGGTTATATCGTAAGATCCTTCCTCAAAAATAATAAAATAATAATAACTAAAAAGCACAAACAAAAGTAATAATAAAATTTAACAAATAGGAAGTACAGGGATTAGTGTTCTTGCAGAGGCCCTGAGTTTAGTTCCAAGCTCCCCACATGGAAGCTCATAACTGCATGTAGCTCTAGTTGGGGGCGGGGATCTGACACCCTCTTCTGGCCTCTACAGGCACTGCTTGTACATGTATGTAGGCAAACCACATACATATAAAATAAAAATAATGCTTTAAAAAGTACTGGCAGGGGCTGGAGAGATGGCTCAGAGGTTAAGAGCACTGACTGCTCTTCCAGAGGTCCTGAGTTCAATTCCCAGCAACCACATGGGCACCATCCGTTATGAGATCTGGTGCCCTCTTCTGGTGTGCAGATATACATGGAAGCAGAATGTTGTATACATAATAAATAAATAAATTGTTTTTTAAAAAAAGTACTGGCAAGCAGCAGGCATGTTATGTTTTTAGATGTCTCCTTCTGAAATAAATGGCAGCAGACAGTCTATTCACCTCTCTTTACCTGCTTTTCTTTTTCATGTGTCACTGTATCCCGAGGCTCACCCTCCAGTTGTGTATAGAAATATTCTGTCTTCCTTTTCAAAGCTCAGAGTTCTCCTTTGTGTTCCTGTGCCAGGGCTGATTAAACTGGCTCTCTATAGACAGACATTTGACTTATTTCCAGTGGAGTGCAGGCAGCCTTTAAATCAAAGGCCATCAAAAGTCGTGTGAAAAACTAGCTATGTGAGCTGCTGAAGACTTCAAATGATCAGTTATAATTTTCCCATCACTTTGCAAATTTTCAGAGGAAGAAAGAGAAAGGAAGTGACCCCAGACATCAAGCGGCAGTTGAGAGATAAGAAAAACAAACTTGAGGACAGAGCCAGGCTCAGGAAAGCACAGTCACTGGTAAGTCTGCTGGAACACTCACCCCATCACTGATGGAAATTACCCTGATCCCTAATCCTATTTGTGAAATTGAATTTGTTTGCTAAATCACAATCATCAAGTGGTTGTTTAAACCCCGGTCTCTGGGGCTAGAGATGCAGCTCAGTTGCTACAGCGATTGGCAGCAGGCAAAAAGTCCTGGCTCCCATACCCGGCACAGCATAAAACTCACAGTGGTACATGTCTGTAATCTCAGCTCTTGGGAGATAGAGACTGAAGGATTAGAAGTTCCTGGTCATCTTCAGCTACACAGCAATCTCAAAGCCAGCCTGGGCTAAACAAATAAATAAGTGAATAAAGTGACTCAAAAAATAAACCAAACTGAATTAAGAATTTTTCTGTCTCCAGTTAAAAAGCAGTTAATTGGCAACATAATAATGTCAGTAATTGTGACTAGGGAACACGATTAATTTGTAGCAGACTTCCCCAAATTGTGATTTGGACCACAGGGGATCCCTTTTTATCACATTATGAAAGGTTTTGGAGCAAAGCAGGAAGGAATTTGGGTGGAATTAAAAGTGCATGTAATGTAATGAGAATTGAGAGTGAAGCTGAGGACACACTCCAGGAAAATTAATAGAGAATGGATATCAATTGTCGGGATAATCTGCACCCACTTGGGAGTAAGTCTCTTCCACAGCTCAGCTTGGGAACCTGTTACTTTCTGCTGAAATGCATTTTCAAGTGTTATATTAAAAAAAAAACACCCAAGAGAGTGAGAGATAAGCTTCTTAAAATAGACCGGCCTGTGTGTTAAAGATCAGTTCTACTGCAGTGGGGGAGGCTCCTTGTAGACATGTGCAGCCAGTGAAGCCTGAACCAAAGAGATAGATAGATAGATAGATAGATAGATAGATAGATAGATAGATAACATTACGGGCCTTATTGCCCAGGCCATCACGAGGCATTCTGCCTGGTTTCCATCCCATTAAGCGAGGAGGAGGAAAGAAGCCAAAACAGAATATGAGCCAGATGTAGTGGCCCACTCCTGAATTCCAACACTCAGGAAGCTGAGGCAGAAGGACAGCTGTGAGTCTGAGACTGGACTCAAAATACCAGAGAGAAAGAAACAGAGGGAGGAGACAGGGAGGACAGAAAGTGTGTGGGGGGGGGCAATATGAATTTCTGAAGAAATGTATGCTGAGAAATTATCAATGCAATTGAGTGTTTCTCCTGCTTAAAAAGCACAAATATCTAGATTTTTATATTAACCATCGATCAGACACTAGCAGAGATTTCTTAAAGTATTCATTAGAATTCAAAAGTGGAAGGATATAACTCAGCTGGTGGAGTGCTTACGTAGCATGCATGAAGTCCTCGGTTCAATCCTCAGCATGGCATAGCCTGGTCATGCTGGCTCACACCTATAATCCCAGTACTGGGGAGGTAGAGGCAAGAGGGTCAGAACTTCAAGGTTATCCTTAGCTACATAGGAAGTTCAAGGCTAGCCTGATCTATGTGAGACCCCGTGCCCCCCCAAAAAAAACAACCCAAACAAACAAAATGAAGACATTTAAAAAGTGGTTAGGTGTGGTGACACACCCTGTAATCTCAGCACTGGGGAGGTTGAGGCATGAGAAGGATCAGTGCAAGTTCCAGGCCAGCCAGGGCTAGAGCAAGGTAAGACACTGCCTCAAAAGCATAGGTAAATAAATAAATAATAAGCCATGAAGTTGTGCTAATTAGGGCCAAAAGGGAAATCCAGATGAATTAATGATAGAGAGCAATTAGCTATTACTAAGCACATGATTATTTATATCTGCCTCCTTTGGTTTTGTAAGTATACTAATTATAATTACTGCAAACATTTGGTAGTTTTGATAGAGAACATGGAGTATAATTACCCCCGACCAGAACTATGCTGTGGTCTTTGACTCATGCCTGCAATATGCTGGCCTGTGACAAGCTTGGCTGTTGGTGCTGCAAAGTTCAGGACTCCTCTCCACAGAGTGGCAGTTTGCACTCACTAGAGGTTACAGGCCTGGGAAGGAAACAGCCACACTGCTAATGCAGGACTCTTGTGACAGTGAAGAGATGCTGCCCCCCCCCCCCCAGGGCTGGAGACAGGGAGGAGTGAAGAGATGCTGCCTCCCACCCCGGGGCTAGAGAGGGGAAGGAGTGGCACTAAAGACATTACCCCTCCCTCCATAGGAGGGAACATTGAACACCTGTGAACAACCCCAAATGATTCCAATGAGGGACTCTGATAGAAAGTTCTAGGATCCTTTCAATGGGTTTGTGGGGGCAGAGAAATGGGTGTGTTGTGGTAGTGTGGGGAGCTGGTACTACAGACATGCCTCCTTCACCTAACCAGAGGACTATCTGACTACAATAATTGAAGACGAGTTGTTCCTATCCTGTGGGAGAGGGGTGGGTGGGCATTGGAGAAGGTAAAGTGTGGGAAGGGAAGTTCTGGGGAAGAAGGAAGTGAAGAAGTTTGAAAGAATATAAGGAATATTCCGTAGGCCTGCTGCAGGGTCCTGGCTGCAACTGGGAGACCCGCTTCTCATCTGCCTGTCACTCCCCAGAGCAAGCTGAGATGGGGCTCCATCTTAAGGGAAACATCCCCAGGGCATCAGCTTCTAATTTGCACATGGAGTGCTGTGAGCTTGCCCAATTCCTGCTTAACCGGTGTGAGTGGAAGTTGGCTTTCTCTCGTTCTCACTTCTACAGGAGATCCCCAGGGGCTGCCTGAGATGTAGCCGATTCCCTAGCCACTTTGTGGTGTGAACATCTGTTAGAAGATGGTAATCAAGCTTAGATATGATAGGGGATGCTTTGAAATTTCCAAGACTTCTCAAAAAACTTTCAGACACAGCAAGAAAGCCCCGTGATTATTAGTAATGACAATATTGCATATCAAACAGAACGGGTCGAAGAACACAGACACCACAATGCCCTCATCTTCTTTAAACTTCAGAGATTTTCCAGTCTGGAATCAAAACACACACACACACACACACACACACACACACACACACACACACACACACA